GGTCCGACTCAGTGAACCCAAGTTTGACGAAGGTCTTGTAATACATAACCTCCGAAGTACTCCCCTTGTCAATGAGAATGCGTTCAACGGTGAATCAATTTACGCATAGTTCGATGACCAATGGATCAATGTGGGGGAGTGTTATGCTGATCAAATCAGAATCGTCAAAGGTAATACTCGGGGCTTCATAGGGCCGTTTTGCTGGTGTGATTTGCTTTTGGGGGCCAGGATGAGACTGAATTGAATGTACGGCGGGGGCTGTCGGCAGGCTGTATATCATATGGATTACACCGAGCGGAGGTGAATCCTGCCTTAGGGCAACTGTTTTGGTTGAGTTGTTCTTTTGGACGTGTTGCTGGAGCCGACCGTCTTGTACCAACTCCTCAAGGTGGTCTTTCAAAGCATAGCAACTTGACAATGTAGCTAAGGAATTTTCCAGATCTGATCCCAAATGCACACTTGGAAGCGTTCAACTTCATTTTGTACTTGCGTAAAATGCCAAATGTCTCTTCCAGATCGGCCAGATGAGTTTGCTCTTCTTTAGACTTGACCACCATATCGTCAATGTACACTTCCATAGTTCGGTAGAGTTGCTCCTTGAACATGGCAGTGACTAGTCTTTGGTACGTTGCCCCTACATTCTTCAGCCCAAAAGGCATTACCTTATAGCAATAGGTCCCTCTTAGGGTGAGGAATGCAGTTTTGTCTTGGTCTTCCGGATGCATGGCAATTTAATGGTAGCCTCTATAAGCATCGAGGAAGCTCATATGTTGATGATGCGTTGTGGCGTCCACGAGTTGGTCTATTCTAGGGAGAGGAAAACAATCCTTGGGACAAGCTTTATTTCAGTCCGTGAAATCCACACAAACACGCTAAGTCCCATTTTTCTTCTTGACAACCACAATGTTCGACAGCCATGTAGGATAAGGTAACTTTCCGGATTGCCCCGGCATCAAGTAACCGGTCAACTTCTTCAAGAACGGCAGCAGTGTGTTCTACGGCTGACCACCGGCTTCTCTGAATGATCGGCTTACACTTGGGGTCAACATTCAGACGGTGCTCAGAAATAGATGGATCTACCTCCGGCATCTCATACGGCGACCATGTGAATACATCAAGGTTGCTGAGCAAGAAGGTAATTAGCTGCTACCTGTCAGTTTTATTTAAGGAAGTGCCGACCATGAAGAACATGTCAGGATCCCCGTCAATTTCAACTCGGTCCAGGGTTTCTGTGGCCTTTTCTCTTGGAAGCCGTCCAACATCGTCCAGGCTCTCGCGATCCGGCACCTCAATAGAGTTCACCTCCAGCTCTCTTGGTGTCTTCGCGACGAGAAGATAACATGCTTGTGCCGATTTTTGGGAACCACGGATTTGTTCAATGCCTTGTTCAGTCGAGAAGCGGAGCAGTTGATGATAGGTGCTGGGCACGGCATGCATGGCATGCAGCCAAGTTCATCCCATGATAAGATTATACGGCGAAGGCAGCTTGACGACCAAGAATTCCACGTCTAATGTTCAAGAGCCTGCTCGAATTGGTAGTGTGATTTTGCCCAACGGGTATTCTGGATTAGTATTGAAGCCGAATAACGGATAAGGAGCCGGAGACAGGTCCGACTCAGTGAACCCAAGTTTGACGAAGGTCTTAAATCCGGGATCGCTATAGTTACAGTTCATCCCATGATAAGATTATACGGCGAAAGCAGCTTGACGACCAAGAATTCCACGTCTAATGTTCAAGAGCCTGCTCGAATTGGTAGTGTGATTTTGCCCAACGGGTATTCTGGATTAGTATTGAAGCCGAATAACGGATAAGGAGCCGGAGACAGGTCCGACTCAGTGAACCCAAGTTTGACGAAGGTCTTGTAATACATAACCTCCGAAGTACTCCCCTTGTCAATGAGAATGCGTTCAACGGTGAATCAATTTACGCATAGTTCGATGACCAATGGATCAATGTGGGGGAGTGTTATGCTGATCAAATCAGAATCGTCAAAGGTAATACTCGGGGCTTCATAGGGCCGTTTTGCTGGTGTGATTTGCTTTTGGGGGCCAGGATGAGACTGAATTGAATGTACGGCGGGGGCTGTCGGCAGGCTGTATATCATATGGATTACACCGAGCGGAGGTGAATCCTGCCTTAGGGCAACTGTTTTGGTTGAGTTGTTCTTTCGGACGTGTTGCTGGAGCCGACCGTCTTGTACCAACTCCTCAAGGTGGTCTTTCAAAGCATAGCAACTGTCGGTATCATGATCGTGATCTTTGTGATATTCGCACCGCATATCCCGTCTCCTTGTGTCGGGAGGTCCCACCATCCTGGGCGGCCACTTAAAGAACGGCAGATGTTGAATTTTAGTCATAACCGTGCTGGTCGGCTCCGACAACTCCATATATTTCTTGGCCACGCGCCTTGCACGCCTGTTATCCACTTGAAGTTGTTCATTAGCTTAATGGGAGCATTGGTCGTTTGATCGGCGTGAATTTCTCTTGTCTCATCTAGCCCGGCCCCGTGGTTCAAGGCTCTGTGATGGTATAGAACTTATCGGCTGAATGATTTCGGATGGGGCCGTCTTGATGGCCTGGTGCCCGGCTTTGACCCGCAGTGCGTCATCTTCAACTTTACAATATTCCTTGACTTTCTTCATCAACGACCAGACTATTTTAGGGGGCCTTTTAGTCAAGGAACTGCGGAGGGCACTATCAGGATGCAACCCCATTTTAAAGACGATGATGGCCATGGAGTCGTTGCAGGCGTCATCCACAAGATTAAAGCATTCCCAATAGCGTGCCGAATACGCCCGTAATGTTTTTCCTGACTGAATTTGCATTGCCCAGAGAGAATTGGCCTGCTTCGGCCAGACCTCATTGGTGATGAACCTTGCCCTGAAGGATTTTTGGAGTTGATAAAAGCTCTTAATCGATGCCGGTTCCAATTTGTAATACCATCTGACGGCCAACGGTCTCAAACTGCTCAGAAATATTCGGCACAATAGGGCCTCGTTGTCCACATACAACATCATAGCTTGCTTGTAATGCCGGATGTGATCAGTGGGGTTTGATTTCCCGTCGTGCAGGGTGAACGATGGGGATTTAAACTTTTTGGGTAGTATTGCCTTCGTGATCTGTCGCACAAAGAGATTATGCTGGTCTTCTTCACCTGAACCATTTTGTCTTCGCTTATGGTGAGTACGCGGACTCTCTTCGGACGAACTGGTGGTTTCAACTCGTCCCTTCCTTTTGGGTTCCGGGGATAATGAGTCAAAATCACTGTCACTTTCTTGTCTTCGAACTCGAGGTTGTCGACCATCTTCTCTCAGAGGTTGTTTGGGATCTTGGCGTGCAACTTGCTTGGATTTTGCTACTTCCAAGGCCAAATCCTGACGGAGGTGCTCGTTCTCAGCGATCATGTTTTCTAGCCTCTATTCGTTTTGCTTCACCAGTTCCATGATCGCTTGCATTGTCTCATGTGCTGAAGTCGAGGGTGAGTTCTGGGCAAGTGAGTCAAAGTTCAAGGCACGTCTTGCGGTGATAGTCTCCGATCCAAGCATGTTTATTGGAGTGAGGTCATCTCTCTGTGTGGTTTCGTCAGTGACTATCGGAGGGTCTTCCGTTATGCCCACCATGGATGTAGTTGAGTATTCCCACAGACAGCGCCAATTGTGGGAAAGTGGTTTGGAAATACTCTTTTGATCCACTGGGATGCTCGAGATCCTCAGCTAGAAACCTGAAAAGGAATGAACACTCCGGTCGAGGGCGCCGGAATTAACACTCCGACGATTAAGTTAGTGTATGCTATCTTAGTTACTTGTATCTTAAGTTAAGCGTAATAGTTCTCACATACCTCTCTTTAGTTGTTGTTCTTCTATTTATATACACCCCCAGTCCTCAGGATGGGGCCCACTACTAATCTGTCGTGTGATTGCTCACTCAGCCCTTCTTTCGTCATAACCCGACTTCCAATTGGCCCCTTGTCCGGCTGGCTTTGTGGCTGACTAATATATTTGGCATCCAGAACGTACAAGATGGGGCCGAGAACAACATGTACCAATTATCTAAATGTGTATTCGGCCTATCTGCGTCCATTTTTATCCAGCTCCCACAATTATTTATATAAACTTCTGTTAAACTGGGTTGGTTTTCAAGATCTAATCCCAAACTAGGCCTAAAATTAAATCAAGCCCTAAAACTTTAAAAACTGGTTGCTGGATTTGACCATTGGGCTGATAGCCACCCTTGTTGTTGTATGTGATCATGATTCATGCTCATATGAAACGGTGGAAACTAAGGTCCGTTTGACAATAAACTAATATAGTTAAAAAGTTAATTAAAAAAAGTCAAAAGATTATACCAAAAAAATTAAAGATTTCTTCTCATTCTTTATATTTTTTTGTGCCTTTTTTTGGGGGGGTAAAAAGTCAAAAAGTTTTTCCCGAATACTTCAATTTTTTTCACTTTCATAATTTAATAAAAAAAAAATCACTAAAAAGTCACTTCCCAAATGAACCCTAAGTAAATGAATCACACAATAGGCAAAACAACAACTCAAATTGCTAGAGAATGGAGAAATTATGTTACATTGAACTAGAAAATCACAACAAAATCATAATGTATACATGAGATCTTATGTCTTAAAAATCCTATCTTCCTATCCCAATCCACGTACACTATATTTGATTGGATGATTTGAGGAGCGATTTGGAAAGGGAAAGGGATGAGGTAGGTAAAATATGAATATAATATACATACATTTCACCTAATTTCACACACATTTTCCATTTTCCTTTCCAAATCATTTCCCAAATTCCCCAATCAAATACAGCGTTATAGTATTTTGATCATGACTCGATATTTTGACACTTCAAAGTTCTTACATGATCAATGGTTGTAAGTAAATTAGGAAAAGAAGATGAAGGTTTTGGGGATAGAAGATACTTGGCTAATGATATACAGAATTTAATTACAACATTTAAGCAAACAAAGCCAGAGTAGTACCAAATGTGACTTCAAATTTTGTCCATCAATTTGATGTTGGGATTTGCGATAGAGAGTTTCAATTTTAAACCCGAGCCTTCCCACCTTTGATTTTCAAGAGCCTCGAGCCTTTCCATCATCTCAGTTGTCAACTGGTTCTTCCCATCTCCAACAACTCCTTTTCGAAAATACAAATTGAATGGAATTCCTAGCCAAATTCCTTTTACTTCATCAATATTAACATCCAACTTACTCAGTCTCTCATGACTACTTTTCCACACCACTTGTTCAATTTCCTCAGAAGTCATTGAGCATCTTAAGAACTCAACAAGACTCCTAACAGACTCTTTTGGATTCTCTTTTAACTCCTCATAGGTAACAAAGAAAACATTCTTTTTCTCTCTTTCTTTCCAATACTCCAACACATGGTCGAAGAAAGGACCTTCCGGAACAATGCCCCTACAAAATTCATCAAAAGCCCCTTCAAATGAGATTGAAGCACCAAACATCTTCAAATAAAAGTGCCAACTAGAAACAAAAGCATATGCTGAATTGCGAGAAATATAAACGACACGACACCAAAGTTCTTTACATGCTCGAGTAGGATTGAGTAAGGAAGATGGGTGCTGAAAACCCATGGAGAAAGAACTTTGTTGATATTTTGAGATGAGTTTTCACCAAAAGTCTCCATTTCAAGGAAGGGAATGAGTTCATGGGGGTTGTGGGTTTGCAATAGATCAGCTTGGGCATCGCCCTCTGGCGATATCCAAGCCTTTGAGTTGTGGCTAATTATTGAGACAGCGAGAGCTTTTAGCCATGTTGTACCAGTTTTAGGATAAGAAGCTAGGAGAATATCTGATGGGAGAGGCTTGAATTGATTTTCAACAATCATGATGGATTTTATAAGATCAAGCATAAGCCAAAAGCCCTTCCAATAGACGAGAATGGTACCTGGCCGCCATTCAACTTTTCGTGAATCATTTAAGAAACTTGTTTCTTCGTCGGAGCCTTGAGCATTAGTGGCCATTAATGAAGGATTAAAGATTAAAACCTCAAGTTGCTCTTAGCTCTGCTCGAGAAGATGCTCAAAAACTCAACAATTAACCTGCGAAAGTAGATATATCATAACGGAAAACCAAATTAGGTAGGCAACTTTTTTTTATTTTATATATTTGTATCAGTCCAAACAAAAGAAAATAGAACAAAGAGAAGAGAAAAGCAACTTGTTAAGGCGCTCCAGACTAAAGCAATCTGTTGAAAGCCATAAAGAGAGAATGCAAAGACATTATGTGGGATGGAGTTGGAGACTTGTAGGGAGATTATATGCAAAAAGAAAAGATTAGATATGATTGAGGAGTGTCACGCTCTGTATTTTATTACTCGGATAACATCACCAATATTCATTAATTAAGTCCATTTACAAATGACAATTCATCCTTTGATGATATGATGAATAATTAAATATACATGTTCCCTCTCGTCATACAACAATGACATTTACATACAAATAAAAAAATGCCCTAAGGCTTACAATAAATAAGAGAACGTTGCCCTTTACAAAATATAGAACTCAACCAAAGAAACAATTAAAAAGCACTACGGCTCATCACTACTTTATAACCATATATGCCAAGTTGTTTGATCCTCAAATTTGAAAACATTCCCTATACACATATATAGGTAGGGGGTGAGCAACCACTAGCTCACCAAACAATCTCATATTACAACATTAGAAGATATGCGGGTACAAAGATATACATATACGTGAAATCATATCATGTCAAAATCATATGATTCTATTACATAATCTCTTAAATTCAGTTTATTTAATTAATCACAACTAGTTATCTTAAATAAATAAACATGCTTTAATATCAACAAGATATTCTTTTCAAAACGAATGCGATACCATGTTCAATTTATATCACAATTCATTTTATCTCAATTCATTAGTCATGTCCATTTCATTCAATCAACCAAACTGAGGATCCAACTCAGTGGGTCTCTAACCAATATAGCTATCATACAAACATATCTATTTGTCATTTTACAGAAATTTCGTCCGCAGGAATCGCCACCCATGTATACACGCGGTTTTCGGGACTTTCACCCTAGACACACAGGCCAACTTAATTTATTAGAGTCCATCCCCTTTCTTCTCTCAAACATGGAGTACATCCCCTTTCTCTCCCCAAACATCATACATATACAATGTATTAAAACACAATCTTATTAAATGACAATCGATAAGAGATTAATTTCAATTCACCTAATCCACATGCAATTTCTACAATAATCAATACTATCCTCCACCAAGAGCCAAAACAGTTTTCTCTAATGCATTAATTAAAAGATAACAATATGGATATATAATCCAACATACAACCATAACTTGAAATCCCCCATGATTCCAACACTTGGAAACAATCCATATCCCACTTTTTAAAGCCAAACTTTCAAAACTTACATAATTTTCCAGCAAACTCAACAATTTTAAAACCAAACATAATCTTTTCCAAATAATCCAACAACTCCCAAAACATCAACATTTAGGATCTTTCACAAATTGGGACTTCATCACTTTCAAATACCCACATGCAGTTTTGTATACAAAAAATACATTAAAGAGCAAGATTATAGGTAATCAACTCCCAATATAACCAAACCTTCAATTTACATATCAAGTATCTCATATATGAATTTGAGGTACAAAAATAATATATTAGCATACTCCAACAAGTAAAACTAATAACCAACTTCCTAATTGATTTGACTCACACAAAACTTTCAATCAACTTTGTTCCACCTCAACCAAGATAACCAATATGATTTTCACCAAACCTCATACTTAATAAATATTACCATTTACTTCCTACTATATTAAAAGTTATGGTATAATCCCAATAACACACTTTTAATCATAAAGGATATAAAATATTAACCAAACTAATTTAATCCATCAAATTAGTAAGTTCATTATATTCAAAATTTTCTAAATTAATAATACCAAACATAACTTCTCACGTCTAATCTCTCAAACATAATCATAGTTCAATATAACCATATTTCATGCCAAACTACTTAAGGTTTTTTTTTTTTTTCCAAATTCTCTACCAATAACAATTTCACAATTTTTTCTAAAATTAATTAATCAACATGATATTTACATTAAAAATTATGAAATATGTCCAAGAGTAACATTTTCAAGGTTGTGAGTTCAAAAGTTCCCACTTCACATTTTTCATTTTCATAAAAATGAACAAAACAAAATCATCAATATATCACCTTGCATAAAATATCATGAAAATAACACTTTTAGAGTTTTTAATCCCAAAACAACTCTATAATTTCAACTTAACAATATACTCAATATTCATCAACATCAATTTATTTTTCTCAAAAATAAATTCCAAAATCAAAGATGAGATGATATTTCAACATTTTTTTTTCTCAAAATAAATTTTCTAATCATGAAATAATGTAGATACAACCCATACAACTATTAATCTTATTTTGTTTTTCAAATTTTTAACAAGTATTTCCAACACAAGATGATTTTCCCCAAATCAATCTCAAAATACTAATATTCTTAACATTTCAATATAATTTTTCTTTCAAAAATTAACCAAAAAAAACTCTGAGAAATATATATATATATATATATATATGCAATACCTCCTATAATGATATATTTTTTCAAAATATTCCTAAAAAAGCTTTAAAGTAATAATATGGAAAAATCCCTTCCTCAAATAATGAAGAGGAACAAATCCGAAAGGCAAACTTCGTCCGATCATGAATCCGAAACTACCATTGCGAAGATCACGACAAGCTTTCCAACTTTTATTTATAAAATTTTTACAAAATTTCACTCTAAAGACTTCCACTCTAAACTCAAAGTTAGAGCAACCGTGAAAGAAAAGAGAAAGAGATGAACAGAGAGGGGTGCAGCCCTCTGCTCAAAAGCAAGACAAAAGCAAGCAAATGAAAGAAAATGGGAAAGAAATATTGGACAAGGGAAAAGGGGGCAGTTCCACGTGGGTTGCCTTTCAAGGTTTGATTTTTAAAATAATATAATATATTTTTTATAATAACATCTTAAAATTTTATAATATAAATTATATAATATAAATTATAAAAAGATATAATTTTATTTTTATACATCATAAAATATAATATTTTTTCTCATTACAAAATATATATTCATTTTCATTCACTACAAAAATATATAATTTTTCACCGTATGGCACACACCATAAAATCAACTTTCAAATACATATTATAATCATTTATAATAAATAATAATAACTCCTATGGTGATCAATACTAATCACATAATCAAAAAGGATCAAACAGTTAAACATGAATAAATAAACAAATTCAAATTAAATTAAATATAAATCATGAGTCTTGAATTAAATTCTCACCCATAAGCTAATTATTACCCAATTATACATCAACGTAGACCCAACAAACTAATCTCAAGTCATAGTCTAAACACACAAAACTCATTTTCAATTTCTGCTATAAATTAAACTGAACGTCAATTAATCCGCAAATTTTCATTAAATAAATCATCATCAATAAATTCTGAAATTTTTATCCAACATGCTAGACTCATATATAAACAACATATAAAAATTTTATAATTTTTTGAAACTGAAAACTATTTTTAAAAAATACAAAACTGAATTATTTTTACATAAAATATATACAACACTCTAAATTTAAAAATTTATTTAATTAAATTATCCACTGACTATTTTTTTAAAAAAAAAATTCTGGATCATCACAAGAAGGGTGACACAATCATGTCATTAATGGCGTGTGCCATGTGTTTGTGTACCTACCATAATATTTAAAAAGAAATAGCAGTTGACACCAAATGAAAAAAATAAAAATAGGAGTAAAATAATTATAAACTAATGTTTTCTAAAGTTTAATTAAATAATTTATATGTATGTCTGTGGATGCCATTATCTATGAAGCTAGAGAGATCAACGCAAGGAGTCTTCCATCAAAGGAGAACTCAGACTTGCTGGCTATAAGCTCCATCAGAAAATTTTATAGAGCAACAAAAATTATCATCTCATTCATTAATTTCAACTCTACATCCTTTTGTAAGAATTTTTTTTTGGGGGGAGGGTTTTGATTATTAAAGTTCATCCTCTAATTTGTAGTGGAATTGCCATTGCCGTTATATCCTAGGACCACACTACTTTTCTCACCTACAAATTTGAGTCAGAGAGCACCCCAAAGTTCCATTAAAGTTGGAAAATACAGCACAACATAAAACTAATATAGGTTTGAAGTGCAAATAATTTAATAGGCCGGTCTATACAGAGTTTTACTGCGATTTTAATTGAGTCTAATAGACCGAATACCGAGTTATAAAAAATTAAAAAACACACAAGGCTAATACAGCTCATAGTTTGATTATTAAAGTTCATCCTCTAATTTGTAGTGACCTTCGTGGAGCTCTCGGACTCAAATTTGATTATTAAAGTTCATTCTCTGATAAACCTTCCACTCCTACGACCACACTACTTTTCTTGCTTTCTCATTCTTATCCCTTCAGAGCAAAATGAGTAGGATTTTTTATTTTCTTTTCTTTTTTTTGAGTAAATTACAAATATACTCCCGAACTTTGCTTAAAATAGATTGTCTATTTGTGATTTTGAAAATTAAAAATACTCATTTGTCATAATTTTTTATTTAATATAATTTTTTTTAAAAAAAGTCTTAATTATTTTTCTATATGATAAAATTACATGAATTGTTAATTAAAATTTATTTATAATATTATTAAAAACTGTTAATTCTATACAGAGTTTTGCTGCGATTTTAATTGAGTCTAATAGACCGAATACCGAGTTATAAAAAATTAAAAAACACACAAGGCTAATACACCTCATAGTTTGATTATTAAAGTTCATCCTCTAATTTGTAGTGACCTTCGTGGAGCTCTCGGACTCAAATTTGATTATTAAAGTTCATTCTCTGATAAACCTTCCGCTCCTACGACCA